CTCCTGTATAACTTCCAAACAAACCTGCATTTTCTATCCTCTTTCACACAATATCCCAGTCTCTGACAGGTTAAAAGGACAGTAGGACACTTTGTTTAGGAAGGTAAAATAAATTTTGGCAAAATTTAATCAACAACAAAAACAATAAAACTAAACTATTATATGAAAAATTAGGGTAATACAATATTTGGATTCTGAGAGTTTTATTATAGTATAATAAATAGTATTCACATTTATCACCCAATCTATTTAAATAAGATTGCAGATCCTCTGTCAGCTGCTTTCCAAATTGTATCCAGAGGTGCAATCTTTGGTGCCTTTTTTTATAGTCTAGTTATTTCTCTGAAAAGTCCCTTTGGCTATATCTTATTCTCATAATTTTCTTTTCCTGCCTCTGTTCTATCTTTCTATATACCTATCTATTGCTCTCTCCTTTCTTTCATCAATTATTCAATAGACATTTATGCACTGTGCTAGGCATGGAAAAGTCTAAGATAATTATATCTGACTCACATTACTTCCAGGCTAAGATGGAGAGACAGACCCATAAACATTAAATGTGTGGTAACACAGTGTCTGTGTTCCATAGGCTACTGTGAGAACATCAGGAAGAAATGAATGACTAATGGTAGGAGTGAGGAAAGGTTTCTAAGGGAAGATAATACTTGATGAAGTCTGAAGTGAGTCTAAGCAGTGCCTCTCAAACTTTAAATCACCTTAGGACCTTGTCTGAAAGATGCTGAGTCAGTAGATCTGGGTGGGACCTATCGAGCTCTCAGATGATGCCCATGTTGTCAGACCCCAGGCCATTCTTAGACGACCAAGGTCTTAAAGGATGACTAATGACTGTTGGTAAAGGACAGATGGGGTGAATACAGGCAGAACAGACAGTGTGAAGTAAATCACAGAAGTAACAAACACTGCATGTCTGTAATAAAGCACATTGGTGCCCCAGGTGATGGGAGAGAAGAATTCCTAAATTGGGGTGACTGGGAATATGGTATATTTTAAGGGGAAGGAAATTTATTTCATAGGCAATGGAGTATATAAAAGTGAGCAAGACAGTTACCTGGTAACAACTGCAAATCAAATCTGGTGACCCCTAACAGGTTTGGCTCAGTGGATAGAGCTTCAGCCTGCGGAATGGAAGGTTCCAGGTTCAATTCCGGTCAAGGGAATGTACCTTGGTTGCAGACACATGCCCAGTAAGAGATATGCTGGAGGCAACTGATCGATGTTTCTAACTCTCTATCCCTCTCCTTTCCTCTCTCTATAAAAAATCATTATAATATACTATTTTTTAAAAAAACTCAAAAAGATCACCTTCTTTAGTAATCAGCAAAGTACAAATTAAAACTTCCATAAGTGCAATTATGTATCCACCTGATTAGCAAAATTTCAGAACTTATAAATCAATTGTGATGAGGACATAGAACCTCTCATACATTGCTGATCTCACCAATTGGGGAAAATACTTTAGCATTATTTAAAGAACTGAATGTGCACAAACCCCACAATTTAGTTCATTCCCTTGCTAGGTATCCTATAGAAGCTCTTATATATGAGTACTAGAATCTATGAGGAATAATATATATATGTGTGTGTGTGTGTGTGTGTGTGTGTGTAAAAAACATAATATATATATATTTAAAGTTTATTTATTATAAATACTAAAGACCCAGTACACAACATTTGTGCATTGGGGGCGGGGGCAGGGGCCGTCCCTCAGCCCAGCCTGCACCCTCTTGCAGCCTGGGACCCCTCAGGGGATGTCCGGCTCCCTGTGGGCCTAAGCTGGCAGGCAGATATCTCCTGAGGGGTTCTTAATGCTGCCATGGAGGCAGGAGAGGCTCCCACCATCACCACTGCACTTACCAACCATGAGCCCAGCTTCTGGCTGAGTAGCACTCCCCCTCTGGGAGCTCACTGACTACCAGGGGGCAGCTCGTGTATTGAGCATCTGCCCCCTGGTGGTCCGTGTATGTCAAAGCAACCAGTCGTACTGCTGTTTGGTAGATTTGCATATTAGCCTTTTATTATATAGGATACTTATTAAATAATATATATAAATCAGATAATATAGATATGTATTAGTATAAGTAATATTGAAACAATTCAAATGTCTATCAACAGTAGAATGGAAAATTATATTTGCTATATGTTTGAAACAGATTATTACACACAATTTTCATGAATAAACTACGTACATCAACATCTATTGCCTGTGAAATAAATTCTCTTCCCCTCAAAATATACCATATTCCCATTCACCCCAGTTTAGGAATTTTTCTCTCCCATTGCCTGGGACACCAATGTGCTTTATTACAAATGTACAATGTTTAGCAACTTCAGTGATTAAGAATATATATTAAATGATTACAAGTTGGAAAATCTTCAAAGGAAAGTAAGACAACAAGTGTGACAAAAGGCAGGTTGGTAGTTAGGGGTTATCTGTAGTGGAAGAAAAAGCACATGACCTTAAAGGAGCACACAGAGACTTACCAGAATCTATTTCTTTCTTCTTTCTTTTCTTTTTTTTTTTTTAATATATTTTATTGAATTTTTACAGAGAGGAAGGGAGAAAGATAGAGAGCTAGAAACATTGATGAGAGAGAAACATTGACCAACTGCCTCCTGCACACCCCCACTGGGGATGTGCCTGCAACCAATGTACTACATGCCCTTGACCGGAATCGAACAGAGTCCGAAGGCCGACACTCTATCCACTGAGCCAAACTGGTTTCAGCAGGAGTCTATTTCTTAATATGAATAATGGTTATATGACATTTGCTTTATAATTATTCCTCAAGCTATATTTTTCATACATTCTCCTATGTGTATGACATATTCCACAACTAAAAAATAAATGTGGTCATGTTAATTTCCTCCTTAAAATCTTTTAAAAGTTCTTTATTTTTGAATAAATTACAAACTCGTTAGCTTTGCTCTAAGACAGTGGTTCTCAACCTTTTTAATGCCGCAACCCTTTAATACAGTTCCTTATGTTGTGGTGACCCCCAACCATAAAATTATTTTCGTTGCTACTTCATAGCTGTCATTTTGCTGCTGTTATGAATCCTAATGTAAAAATCTCTGTTTTCCAATGGTCTTAGGTGACCCTGCTAGCAGTTCTTAACCTGTGGGTCTCTATCCACAGGTTGAGAACCACTGCTGTAGAGTCTAAGACCATCGAAAACACAGATATTGACATTACAATTCATAACAGCAGCAAAATGACAGCTATGAAGTAGCAACGAAAATAATTTTATGGTAGGGGGTCACCACAACATGAGGAACTGTATTAAAGGGTCGTGGCTCTAAGAGATCCTTTATTATATATCTCCTGTATCCCTCTTCATCTCCATTACTCTCATTTATGCCCCAGCAAAGTGACACCTAGTCCCCCCCCCCCCCCACACACACACACACACACACAAATGTATGCTCCCTTAAGCCTGTGGACCATTGAAAAATGTTCCCACTGCTCCCCTTCTTCTGGCTAACCCTTACTGTCCTTAGTAGTCAGCCAAAACATCATTCCCTCCAGTAAGCCTTCTTGCACACTCTCCTCTGCTGCACTTCTTTTGGTCCCCATGTCTGCCTGTGTCACAGCACTGTATAAAAACTATACATTTACACTGAAAGCTCCTTTAAGGCAGGTACAGTCTCTTTTATTTATCCCAAGAGCTGATTCTCAATAAATCTGATACATCACAGATTCTCAATAAATGGGTGCTCAATAAAGTAACATTTAAGATGGGGCAGTATTTTCTACATTACTTAGAATGATACAAAACTCAAGTTTAGCTGTATAAAATTGCCCTTCTTTTGGTTTGAAAATGATTGATTATTGGCAATTTAATACATGTGGATTGAGTACAGTATAGTGATGACTGTTATAGCTGCTTCCTCAAAATAACTGTAAGCATGCTGTTGTGAAAATCATGATGAGAAAATAAGCATAGTGTTAATTTCATCAGTCTTCTGCATTCATAGGTTATATATTAACTCACAGGGTAGCCTATCTACCCAGAGTTATAGAAGCCGCTAAGCAAATGAAAGAAAGCTATTGATCACTAGCTCAAAACAGCTTCTTTAGAATCTTACAAGCACCGCTGTCATATTGTATTTCCCAGAGATGTAATTTGACAGATAACTAGTTCATCACTGCTGGAGTTCATTGATTATTGACTTTGGTAACTATGAAACATCAAGTATTCGATTAAAATATATATTTTGCCTCTGTAAGCTATTTTTATAGTATTTTTAAAAATTATTCCAATTAGCAAGGCAATTGGGTCTTTTTTTAATATTGTTTTATCAAGCAAATTGATTTTTAGGCTAAAATGTTACAAATTGAGCTTTATAAAACTGCTATGTGATTTCTCTTCCCTTATTTCTAAAGATCTAAATGTTATGTTACGATATATATATATATATATATATATATATATATATGCGCACACACACACACACACACACACACACACTAGTATGTACTTATACAGGAATGTGAATATACAGGAAATAGGAATATATATATATATATATATATATATATATATATATATATATGAAATAAATGGAGCATTATAATTTAGCTCAGAACCAATTCTTCTACTAGAAAGGATAAGTTGGTAAATACAGAATTATGTTACAAATAATAAAACCACTGAAAAGTACAGTTATCCAACTGTTACTCAGCCACATGGAATTGTTCATTGCATGCATTTTACATCATAGGCTGATATCCTCCAGGTGGCAGCATCATGGTGGTATACAACGAACCCGTGCATCCCAAGACCTCATGCTGCTATCCGTGGAATTAATAGCACCGCACCACCAGTTAAACACTCTATCCAACCAATGTTCACTTTAGTGACATTACTCAGAGCAGTACTTCTTCAGAGCCATACACTACATTATACCAAATATTTAAACTGGCTAAGTAGATATCTAAACATTTCCTGCTACGGAATGTTTTCAAATGTGTAACTCACCACTGCTTGCTTGGTTTCTCATCTACAGGAAATAGATCTAATTCAACAGCTTCTTGCATGAGTTGCCATAACGAAGATCTGAGATGATCCTGCCCGTGGTGTTTCTCATACTAGCCTAAAATCAAAGCAAAAACAAGGACAAATTTGATTTTAACATTTAAATGGGAATTTCACCTGCCTTGAGAAAACTGACTGCAAAGGACAATTGGTGATGGGTAACGGGGGGGGGGGGGGGGGGGGGGCGGGGGGTAAAACATCTTGAGGTAGTTCAATCTGTAGAATTATCACAAGCACAAGAACTTTGGCTTTTACTAACACCAGAGTAGCTGGATATTTTATAATCTGAACATGAGCCCAACCAGTATTGCTACTTTGGGTGATATATTTGTATTTGTTTTTAAGGTATTTTTATTTATTTATTTTTTAGAGATGGAGAAAGAAAGAGAAACATTGATATGATAGTGAAACTTGATCAGCTGCCTCTTGCATGCCTCCTGCCAAGAGCGAGCCTGCAGCCCAGGCACGTGGCCTGACCCCAACTGAACTGGCAGGCTTTTGGTGCACAGGATGCTGCCCAAGCAATGCGGCCACACCAGCCAGGACTGATACTTGGTTTTGTGATATGGGTTTGGTTTTCTGATTCAAGGCATCCTACTAAGCTTCACCTGAGGCAGCTCCACTGTTACATGTTTGCATATGCTGCTTTTCACATAAGACTTCGTTAGAACGATAGATTGCATAGTTACCAATAAAAGGACTGAATGAGGAGTTTGAAAACCACTGAAGCATATGAAATAAAATAAAAGTAAAGTTGGTCTGAAGTTGGAAAGAGACCTGTAAGTAATTTTTCCATAATCTGACCTACTTACAAAAGTAGGTTTGTAACTTTAATCTGTTATTATTGTTTTTCGACATTATATCAGACCAGGTTCTCCAGGACCGTGCCGGTTCCCAATGTTCTACTCCAGTGGTCGGCAAACTCGTTAGTCAACAGAGCCAAATATCAACAGTACAACAATTGACATTTCTTTTAATAGCCAAAATTTTTTAAACTTAAACTTCTTCTAACACCGCTTCTTCAAAATAGACTTGCCCAGGCCGTGGTATTTTGTGGAAGAGCCACACTCAAGGGGCCAAAAAGCTGCATGTGCCTTGCGAGCCGCTGTTTGCCCACCATGGTTCTACCCCATCATCAAACATAAGGTTTGCTTTCTAGTTTGGGATGGATAGTCACCGCACCCAAACCAACCTCCTCTCTGCCCCAAATAAGAATCCCTTTCTTGGCCAGAGGCTCACAACTGCTCCTAGGAATTCCTCCCCCACCACCTTCTGCCCCCAGGCCATCCCTATGTGGCCCCAGGGTCACCTACCACCAATTCAGAGGAGGTGAATTTCCTTCTCCTCTGAATTCCGATTACATTATTGTTAAATCATTAATGTATAATCATATACCACCTTTGTTATTTAACCTCATCTCCATAAATGACTATAAGCTCCCAAATGTCAGAAACTGTGTTACAGTTTCCCAACCATGCCAGCCATAGCTCTTAACAGAGCTATGTACCTCAGAGACATTCATTCAAGAAATATTTATTGTGCCCCTACTATGTGCCAAACAGACGCAGTCAGTCCCTGGCAGAGATTATATAATAGTTTAGTGTTAATACAGAAAACATAGGGACAGGCAATCACTATCATGTGATAAGTGCAATAACAGAGGTAGGATAGCCATTGAGTGGTCATGACCAAATAAACAAACTATGAGCTTTCCTTCACAATGAATGCTTTCAAATGCTATTTCCAATGTGTGAGAAGGTATCATTCATTGTCAGGAAGCACAGGGAGCACCCAGGCCAGTTACCATCTGAAAACCAGCAGGCAGTTTTTAGTACTTTTCTGTCACGGCTGGGTTGTTTTCTCCCTGCTTTCCAACACACACACACACACACACACACACACACACACACACACACACACTGTAGCAAAAATCCGTCTCATTACTGTGCAGGTCACTCTGCAAATGCCTGATTGCCCTGTAGGGGAACCTCACTTCACACCTGCACACGGTTTTAGAGCAACCGGGGGTTAGGCACTGCTTCTAATGAACCTTCAGTCATTTATTTTCCATTCAAAATTCGAATTTCCATTCCTAGGAGCCTCTGGGTTTCGCATCTCATGGTCACCAGGGATAAGAACAGTAAGAAAGGTCACAGTGGTTTGTTAGGAATCCAAAATATCAAATCAACAACAGAAAACCTTTACCAAAAATAAATATAAATCTGAGGTCCACTTTTCAAGCCAGAAATGTCTCTTTCTAATTTAAAGATTTTCAGCATCACCTGAGGTCTCACCATAAGAAATAAAGCTCCCCTCCGTTAGATGAAGGCGGGAGGAGGGGGAGAATTTGTACACAGGACACAGATTTCTCACTTCCCCTCTGGGCCCTGGTTTTTCTCAGAAGGACACCACGTAGTCACACTGAAAAACCTTTACTCGGAACCTTACCATTTCGTCACGAGGACATGAACAGACAGGTACATTTCTGTAAATCCAGGCTCCAATTCTAAGTTATATTTTCTCTTTCAAGCAATCAATGTGCAGCCTGATCTTTTATCTGAATCAGCAACAGTGTCTCATCGCAGATTTATGTAATGTAATAAATATAAGAGAGAAAGAAATGTTCCCTCTCCTATTAGATGTACCCAATATAAGAGAGAGAACAGATGTTCTTTATCAAGAAGCATCTCCCTCCTGAGTCTCTAGGCCCAACTTTCCCCCCCAAGCCCTGGGTCCTCAGAAGTCAGGATCCATGGGTGGCGGGGAGGAAGCAGTGAGAATGCAGCACATACCGCCTTGTGCCACTTTCGGGCCATTGCCGGACACCGTGTGCCTGTTTTTGCCTAAGTGTTGCAATGTCCAACCAAAGCATAAGAGAGACCGGAGAGGAAATAGAAGGGGCAATGGGGGAAAAAATTAATGTCAATTTGTTTTCTATTATTTAAATTGAAGAAAGCCTCTCTTGCTTTGAGTCCATTATTCCCATAAGCAACTAAGCAATCGCTTGACGTGAGCACACCAATGCCATGCGAAGTCTTTTAGCTGTAAATGTGACCCGAAGCCAAAACTAGAGCAGGAAAGGCGAGCATCTGCCCCCGTGTTCAACAAACCAGAAAACCCCCAGTCAGTCTTTGCCTTTTATCATCAGTCTTAAACGACTTCTTCAGTAAGATTGCATCCAAAGAAATAGGCTCATTTACATAAAGACACAATAAAACTTAAAAAACAAAAACCTTTCATTCTAGGAGGCCTTCCCTTAAACATGGGAGGCTTTTTCACACGACCTAGGTGAGGCAATTCCTTTTGCTTATGATTTCCCTATAGGATATCCTAACAGGAAAAACCCTATGAATTTTCCTGGCATCTAAAAATATACATGTATTTTATAGCACCCACAGTCAACTGGCAGTTCGTTCTAACCTTGAAAAATATTGGCCACGCACTCTGAAACTATTAAATACTCACAACTGCAGACACCAGACAATGACGGCAAAAACACCCTCTGCCCCTCAGGGATCTGTTCGTAAACATCCCCCTCCAGCAAGGCAAACGCACTCCTCCCAACGCCAGCTGCTGTTCTGGGGCAAGCAGGCAGGAAGCTGGAGGCAGCTGATTCTTCCTCTACGTATAATTTCTTACTGCCTCATCGCCAAGAATCCTTTTACCAAAACTGCGAGGATTTTGTAACAACTGGAGCCCATCAAAGCAAAGACACTTTGCAACACCAGGAGGAAGTCATGTGCAAATGAGGACGCATGGAGAGTCTTTAATATCTAAGGTCACATCACCTTTGTCATCTGATTTTCTCGTTCCGTCTTGGGGGACGGGAAAATTCAATTTGCTCTAGGTGGTGAAATAAGCTAATCCAGTACTTTCTGTCAATTACAAGAGTGAGATCAAGGTAGGGAAGCGAATACATACCAGAGGCTCCGGCAACACGGCTTCGGCCAAACTGCCCCCAAACCCTAAAATCCCAGGGTTCCAGAGTGGAGTCAGAAGCTTGCGAGCTCATTCATGAGCATCTCCATCTATGCTTATGACATACATGCTCACCTAAGGCACACATGTTACGCACGCCTCTCTGAGACTAACGGTCATGCCTGCAACCATTTTTAACACATTGATCAGCATTCTAGGAGGTCTCCCAGGGTCCGACAATTAGCAGTCTAGGGAGAGAGGGAGAATCCGGACCTTTGGGCTGCAATGCCTGGTGCACGGATACCCATTCTCCTTCCATTTGAACGGTGACCTCTCCCCATCACTTAGTCTGCCTCTTTTCAGCCCGTGCACAAAAGTTACCATCAACAGACCAGCAGCAGGCAGGGCTGCTGTGCACGGTCCAGTTCTGCAGCAAGGCAGGCATGTAAACAACCTTGTGACTGCTTCAGAGCTCACTGCCCTGGGATAAGCCATTCTGTTTCTGTGGCTAAACTGCAGTATCCCGGGAAGTTATGCCTTGAAGAGGGTCCAAGCAGAGACTCAGTCTCTACATTTAAATGTAAAAGGGGAGATATATATATATATATATATATATATATATATATATATATATATATATATAATTTTCTTGAGGTATCTCTAACCTAGATTTACTTGAAGATTTTCCAACAAATCACATTTATGTTGCTGTAGGCACGAATACATAAGCTCTGATAAATATATTGCTGTGCTCATTTCTGATGACAGATTTTTTTCCCCCCAAAAGAGCTCTGACATTTCCAGGGGACACAGTATCCCAGCACAGAATACCTGGGAACCATGCCATTAAAAAAAGAAAAGAAAAAAAATGCTGCCTGCTGTGACTAGGAGATCACTTTCTTAAAGGGACTCCTTACCTATACAACTGCAGTGCCAATGTTCCCTCTTATTCTAACCTGAGCCCTGTTCTGTGTTCCTCTCCCCAGCCCAAATTTAGCCTAGAGTGTTTCTGCAAGAGCAATGCCATTGGTTTTGCAACTGAAATATATAAATACCATTCTCAACTAAAATATGTCAATATGTCCCAAAATATTTAAGTTGCACCTCTCAGGAAGGAAATGTAAATGCATGCTGAAAGATATGGATTTTTAATATTTTAGGGAACTCGTAGCATTTCTTGGATATGGGACTGAGGTCAGCACTTCCAATAAGCACAGCTCGCTCTCGCGCTCTCGCGCTCTCTCTCTCTCTCTCCCTCTCTCCCCCCCCCCCCCCATTTTCTCTTCCTTTCTGTAGCTCTGCACTGATCTATAATAAAAACCCCTGGCCACAAGAAGAAGGCTCCCTCCACCCTCTGCCCACCCTCACTCCACACAGAAAGGTCCCCACACGCCCCAGCCTGGGGGAGATGCTCAGCACAGAATGAGAGGCTGGCGGCTCCTGCCTCGGGGGTAGCTCACTTCCTGAGCCTGCTTCCCTCCTCTCCCACCCTGGGCCCCCCACCCTCCCGGGAGCAAGTCACAGCCATCACCACCACACCCTCCAAAGCACAGGTTCGAACCCAGAAGGAGCAAAGAGCTACCTACCATTCCGCGCTTCAGAACTCCGGTCCTCCTCCGGCAGCCGGCCCCCCCAAAATCCTCCCTACTTGCTTTGCATTAACCACATTCCAGACTGTGACCAGGAGCAGGTCCTTTGGAGGTGGGGGAGGATGTTTAAAATTAAAGATGGGCAGGTGATGTCCAAGAACAACCGGTCTCAAAGTCACTCCAGCCCCTGGGCATTGAGGGGTGAGAAGCAAAAAGGAAATCTGTCAAAATGAAAAGATGAAAGCAAAAGGCAATCATATAACAAGCACCCCTCAGCCCCCATGAAAAAAAATAGAATAAAATAAAAAGGCAAGGGGAGGTTTTTTAGAGGAAGGAGGAGAGTGGCTTGCTGAATCACCCTCGTTCACTGCCTGGAAACCATTGTGCAGCGTGATGCTGCCCGTACCATTGTGGAGCCTACCAGAGGAGCCCGGCAGAGGGCCTGGGGAATGGGGTTGCTATGGCAACGGGAAGGAGCACACGTGACGTCAAAGCCCAGAGAGGTGTAGGGAGGGGGGCGAAGGGGAGAGGGGACGAGGAAAAAGTCTATGTGTGGCTACAGCTCCTGGGTTTTCAGGGGGACATGAGAAGCAGGCAAAATGGAAAGGAACAGGGGTTTGTGGGCTTCCACTGTCAGCAACCAGGAAACGGGTCTGCAAGATCCCTGGGAACAATCGCCCCATGCAACCCCGGGCCCTGCACAACGCCCGCCGAGGAACAAATGCCCGCAGTCCTCCCGCACACCATGGGAAACACAGTCCATCTCTTCTTTTCGGCTGGCTCAGCTCTTTTGCAAAAGAGCACAAAGAGAGACACAGTATCTGTAGCCGTCCAAGCAGACAGGGATGGCCATAGCCTCTAAGGGGATGTGAGCATGGAAGTCCTGCCCCGACCCAGAGGTCATTGGCACAGAGCTGTTCCTTTTCTGTTTGTTCCTTGTTTTTAATTTAAAAAAAAAAAAATCCTAAATAAATACTCACTAAATCAAACTCGACAAACTGATTCTTAGACTGCAATTTGAATGTGGGAGCAAAATACAGATCATGTGAGTTAAAAATCAGGGCTCTCTTTTTTTTTTTTTTACTTTTAATGGCAGATAATTCTCTGGAAAACGGATACAAATCGCATTATTACTATTTGGGGCAAAGATATCCATTTTATTTAAGTAATTTGCCTTGCCTTTGACTTGGAGCATATTTTTAAGTCTCCGGTTTTTCACCTCTACATATAATAGGTCTTTTGAGAATGAGAGCAGTTGACTACTTACACTGCTAAAAAAAAAAAAAAAAAAAAAAAATTACCAAATTTTAACATTAAAAAATATATATTTTTACAGTGCACAAGGAAAAAAAATCAATATATATTTGGCCTCACCAGCTTCAGCGCTTGGACTTCTCAAGTAACTGAATCTAACCAAACTCCTTTTTGCCTAAACAACTTTGAGGTAAGTTTCTATCTATTCCAACCAAGGAGTGCTGAGTTTTACATGATCCTACAGTATGTTTTGGAACTAGTATACTTACATGAATATGGAGCTTCTTCCACATGTTAACAGAAAAGATATAACATGCGACAGATATAGATGAGGCAAGGATCTTAGACACTGGCTCACATCAGGAAACTGTAGGAGACCAGCTTTTGTGGTGTTTGCTGCTTCTGCTGCTATTTTATTCAGGAGGGAATCTGGAAAAAAAGAAAGTCTTGCATGAGTTTTCTGTCTTTTTAGTCCATTGGACGAATTTTTGGGTCTCGCTTACTCTAATATTCAACAAAAACCAGTTGATTATTAATTTTTAGTCTTGGCAATTAGCTTACCTACAAGATGACCATGTCTCAAGCAAAAAATATGTAGTGATTAGCTAAACGGCTTCAGAATACAATGTAATTGGCATTCAGGCTTTTCAGTTATTCTATTCTGAGTTTGGGTATCAAAGGTAAATTCTCAATAACTGGATATCAAAGAGGACACTGTGAACTTCAACTCTTACCTCACATTACAAACATAAAAATGAATTCAAGATAAATTATACTCTGAAATATGAAAGCTAAAATCTATATAAAACTACTAAAATAAAATGTATCTTTCAGAAGAAAGAATAGCTTTCTGATCCTGGAGTAGGCAAAGATTTCTTAGATAACCAAGAACTCATCATAATACAGGGGGAGGGGAAGGGCTAAATTAAAACTAAAAGCTTCTACTTATCCAAAGTCATCATTAAGAAAATGAATAAACAAGACATGGATTATAAGAAAATACTCTTGATAAACCTATCTGAAAATATCTTCATATACACTGTTGTGGAGTCGAACCCTGCGTTCAAAATAAGACCACCGGAGGCTGATGATTTATTTAAAAAAAAAAAAAAAAAAAAAAAAAAAGCAGGCAAAGATTTATTGAAATATCTGGCCAGGACAGCCGCAAGAGCACCACACGCAGGCAGACTCCACACGACTGCACTGCTTCAGGGTCAGGTAGTTCTTTTTAAAGGTTCTGAGAAGGAAAACCCGTATTTTGCAACAAACTGTTGTTTGGAATTTTCTGCTGTTCTTCCTAGATAAAATGTTGCTTTTTAGTTTGCTTTAGTCCGTTTGAAGAATGATGAAGATAAACTTAGTTGTCTGACCTTCTAGGCCAGAGACCAGATATGCCCACAATCTCAATACCATGCCAGGTGCACTTTTTCAATTGGATAGAACTGTATTGTTCTCAAGGCCAGCATCGAGATAACCACTAAGTGCGCATAGGGCTGGCTCTTTAATAAAAAAAAAAAAAAAGGAAGTTCTGCCTGTAACCTTGCTTAGAATTTGAATTCATCTTCCCTAAGCCCATCGTGTGTTGAACACAGCAAGTCTCTCCAAACTCTCCCCCTGCACCATCTGACCACTCGGGAACTCTGCAACAGTTCAAACCACAGGAATTTTCCTTTGTTCTAAATTCTAAATCCTTAAGACTATATTCTAAAAACTGGAGTCAGCCTGCAGGGTCATTCCCAGTCACATCCTGCTGGACATTGGAATGTGGCCCTATCTTGCAGAAGCAGAACTCAGTGGTTAATCTCCAAAGGTTATGGTCCCAGGCACAGGAAAATTGCCTTAGCAGGTTTAAAACTCAAATAGCAGTTTTTACCCAAGTATGATTGCTACCATATTTCATACACAACTTCTGGATGATATCAAAATATCCTACAACTCAGTGTTAAAAACAAACAATTTTGTTTGATGGGCAAAAGTCTTGAGTAGGCACTTGGCAAAGGAAGATTTATAAATGATCAATTTATACTAAAAATAGAGAAATATGCAAATTATCTGTTACAGCATCACGTCACCACCAGATCAGCAGGCTGCATCCCTGCCCTCTGCTCAGGCAGCTGCAAGGCCTGGGTAGGATAGGATATGATAGGAGGGGATAAGAAAGGAGAGAGAGAGGAGGGAAGGCCAAGAGAAGAAACTGACATACAGAAACGGAACAAGAAAAAGATGCAGGAATAGAAAAGGCAAAGAAACTCAGGGCTGCACCCAGGAGGGGGTAGTGACCACGGAAGGGGGAGGGAACAGGTGCATCTGGAGGGCAGTGGTCCCCCATGTGGGCCGTTGGAGGAGAGGTGCCCAAAGGTTTAGGATGAAGTGGTGGATGATCCTAGGCCTTCTGGGTGGAGGCACTCCTGCTTCTTGGCAGCAGCAGCAGCGCCCTGGCTGCACAGGCCTCAGCCACCCTCCCTGGGCCAGATGTCCCAGGGAGGGAATAGGAGCAGGACATTGGTGGGGAGGCCGGGGAATGGGGGGCAGTAAACACCTGGCCAGGGCTGAGCCCTTGGCTGGGGATTAACATTCTCCCAAACGGAAGCTTTAAGAAGGGAGGGAGGGAGGGAACAACTTTATAAAGGAGTCAGTAGACAGCAAGGTGAAAGAAGGAAAGAGGATGTATGAGTGAACTGTAGGAGCTATAATGAAAATCAAGTATAGTGTACTGGGGACAGATTTTAAAAGTAGGTGTCAGAAAAGAAAAAAGATAAATGATAGTAAATAATTAGACAGGTAGATAGATAGATATTAAAACAGTGGAAGTAGAGAAGAATGTATGGGAAAGGTTGGATGAGAGAGAAAGAGGGAGGGAAGAAAAGTTTTAAAGGAGATGGGAAGAAGGAAGAAATGGGGGAGGGAGCAAAGCAGGTCCGAGGGAGGAAGTGAAGAAAAAAATTAAGGTGAGAAGGAAGGAACAGGGGAAGGAGTTCAGGGGTAAAGATAAAGGAAAGAAGGAATGTGGGGAAGGAGGGAGGGTAGGAGAAAGATGAGAAAAAGGATGATGGAAGAGAAGTAGGTAATAGAGAGGAAAGAAAGGTTTATAAATTAGTCAGTAGGAAAAAGTGTTACATAAAGGAGAGAGAAAAATTGTGTGAGAGGAAGAAGCCAATAAGAAGTTCAATACAATTGCGTGTGAAGGGGAAAGTTAATAGGGGCAACCAGGCTGGCAGGGGAGGGCAGTTAGGGGGATCAGGCAGGCATGCAGAGTGTTTTGGGCAGGCAAGCAGGTAAGTGGTTAGGAGCCAGAGGTCCCAGATTTCGAGAGGGATGTCCAACTGCTAGTGTAGGCCTAATCCCTGGCAGTTGGACATCCCTGGAGGGCTCCCAGATTGGAGAGGGTGCGGGTCAGGCTGAGGGATGAATTTTGAGCACTGGGCCTCTATATTAAAAAAGTATTCAACATCATTGGTCATCAGAGAAATGCAAATTAAAACTGTAATAAATTTCATTTCACACCCACAAAAAAAATGGTTAAAATTAAAAAGACTAACAATACCGGATAGGATATGGAGAAACCAGAACTCTCCTACATTAATGGTGGGAGTAAAAGCTGGTGAAACCACTTTAGGAAATGGTTTGGCAATGTATGTGTTTTTAATGGTAAACATACACCCACAGAATGACTCAACAGTTCTATTCATAGTCACCCAACAGAATAGAAACATATGTCCACATACACAAAAAACTTTTTCATAAATGCTTGTGCTAGCTCTATTTATAAATGATAAAAACTGGAAATAACTCAAATTATGGTATATGCATATAATAGAATACTATTCAGAAATTTTAAAATAACAAGTATAAATATTATAGCTTAAAACCAATCCTTTTCCTCCATTAGGTGCTAATTCTTAATGCACAAGTTACAAAAAGTGATAGAGCCCAACATTATTCATAGATTTTGAGGTAGATTTTATAACTTAGGGCTTTAATTCTCAACCTGCTCATTTCAGTAATACTTGGATTATTAAAATGATCTTTTAAGACTATTATATATATTATGGAAAAATTAGATCCCATTTAATGCAAGTTCATTTCTTAAAAATCAACACCAAAATAAATCCCATTTCTTACTGGGTAAAACCAAAACTCTTTATATAAAGCCTTTAATAAAATTATTTGAATTGT